AACGCAGCAGGAGATGACGGGGACACCGCGGTTAAAGTACATGTTGTCGAGCTCTCGGAAAAGAAAGCAACGTAGTAAGATCAGGACAGGTCTTTGTTTTTAGATCGTAAGCTCGCAGTGTTTTTGTCGCTCCACACGGCACAGTGACAGTCCGCAAGACGCCCCGCACAAAGATGGACGACTGAAAGACGCAGTAATGCCCCGCACAAAGATGGACTGATGCCCCTCTGTGTGGGGGTGGGGCATATTTTGGTTTTAATAATAATAATTTGCTTGTCGTTCTTAACAATTATTGATTACAAAACAAAACTTTTATTTCTAAGTTGTTGGGCGGTAACGAAAGATAAAAAAATAAAGATTTTATTTTAATTTATTGATATGTTTTATAAATTATTTATCGCTAGTTTACACCTCATCTAAAACTCATAAATCAGTGCATTTACCACCAGTAGATGGTGTAAAATATTTTAGAACATAAAAAATGAACTCTTTACTGCGCCCTACTGGCCGCTGGATGCTAATGCCTCTCTCACCGTTTTCTCTGTTCCGGTTGACAGGGAATTTCAGCAACGAAAGCATTTGGAAAGGAGTTTAAATGTACAGTATTCGTATAGATGAATAACCCAAGTTAAATGGTTGTTAGTTGTTTAAAGATGTAGATGTAAAGAATTACACGAATCAAATGTAACTGCATATATCTGATAGCTGTGTTGGTGAATGATACAATCACAAGTGTGTCGCAAATGGACTGTCAACCTCGAGGAAGAGGAGGGCGAGGAAACCGAAATGAAGAGGTGAATTTATTACTTTTACACAAACATTTACTATGGTAATCACAATTTTACCATAATTATTTAATATAAGTTCTTATTTAACAAGTGTAAGTTTTTATTTCAAGAATTACACGAATCAAATGTAACTGCATATATCTGATAGCTGTGTTGGTGAATGATACAATCACAAGTGTGTCGCAAATGGACTGTCAACCTCGAGGAAGAGGAGGGCGAGGAAACCGAAATGAAGAGGTGAATTTATTACTTTTACACAAACATTTACTATGGTAATCACAATTTTACCACAATTATTTAATATAAGTTCTTATTTAACAAGTGTAAGTTTTTATTTCTTTTTTTTGTTTGTTTTGTTTTATATTTTAATCTGTGCACAGATATGAGTTATGTTATATTTCTATTTTGCGTCTTTCAGAGCAGAGATGTGCGTCTGTCTAAATCACTGTCTTATGCATTACGCCACGGTGCCAATAAGATGGGTCTGCAGATGAACTCGGGTGAGAGATGATATCCATAAACTAGTGTAGGATTGATGATGATGATGATTGTACACCCACATGAGAACACCCACCCTGTCTGCTTACAAAATTGTTATGTAGGTATTTTATGTAGGTATTTTGTGTGAGCATATGATGATTACTGTTGTTGTTTGACAAGAAAACAAATGATTCATTCAGAAGTTATAATTCCTTGGATTTAGTTTTTTAACATCCCTGTTGTCCGTCTGTAATTATGTGACCTTGTCCACAGATGGCTTTGTATTTGTGGAGGAACTACTTGCTCATAAGCAGTTCCACTCGTTTTCATTGGAGGATGTGGAGCGAGTGGTGGCCACCAACGACAAACAGCGATTCAAGCTTTGCCACCACCCTGAGGATGGTCACCTTCAGATACGAGCCAATCAGGGTCACTCAGTGCAGGTCAGTTTGGTTCAGAGGTCATGCAAAGTCTACAATCTTAATTTTAGAAATAGGTTTAAAAAAAATTGGAGATGGTCACTGGAGCAATTGCTTGACAAGTCTGCATAAGTTGATAGATGTTGTTACACAATGTGTCTCTTCAAGGTTACAGATCTGGAGTTGAGAGCAGTAACACTTGATGATCCAGACTATCCAAGAGAAGCTGTTCATGGCTCATATATGAAACACTGGCCCTCTATACGCAGTCAGGGCATCAGCAGAATGAACAGAACTCACATACACCTGGCACCCGGGCTTCCTGGAGATGGCAGAGTCATCAGTGGTGAGTAGCATGCAGATTAAATTCATTTCTAGAGGTCTTTATTTCATGAGAGTTATAAATATTTATTTATTTATTTAATTGGCACAATTAGGATAGCAGAAAGCAGTCCAGACCAAGACTATGTGTACAGAATATGCAAATATGATTTTTAAATGTAATTTTAATATATAAATTGATTATTTAGTGATGCAAATGGCCTCTTTTCTGTTTTTGGGTATGAGACAGAGTTGCGATCTGGCTGTGTACATTGATGTTGCAAAAGCTATTTCAGGTATCAAGAAATCATAAAAAGCAATTTAAAGTTGAGTAAGTAGCAATGTTAGTGCTGAAGTGCTAATGATCCCTCTGGTTGATGTTCAGATGGGATTCAGTTTTTTAGGTCGGAGAATGGCGTACTCCTGACCCCTGGAGATGCTGCTGGCATGTTACCGCCATGCTATTTCTCTCGAGCACAAAGACTAAAACCCTCACGTGAGTTACATTCACAGCCAGCTCATCAAGTTTTACTGAACTCCTAAAGACCGTTCAGAAAGATTCATTTCTGTTCTGTATGACTGTAACATACCGTACATGCATTTGATATTGTACAGTGCAGATTGGTGATAATTAGATTTTAAAGGGGTCATATGATGCAATTTCAAGTTTTCTTTTCTCTTTAGAGTGTTACAAGCTGTTAGTGCATAGATAAGATCCCTAAAGTTGCAAAGACTAAAGTCTCAAACCCAAAGAGATATTCTTTATAAAAGTTAAGACTCGTCCACGCCCTCCTAAAACGCCTCGTTTAAACACGTTACTCGCTTTTCTTAAGTAGATTCAGTGATTACTTTTTACAGTGTGTGTGTTTCGTTGTGAAAGTGAAACTACTTTGTTGGGTCTTCCAAAAGAGGACACAACTACAAATCAGTGGTTAAGTTGTATTTACAACACTGTTCCAAAACAGTTCAACCCAAATATTCAAGTATGTGCAGCGCATTTTATGGAGGACTCTTTCCTGAACCTGGGAAAGTAGCCTGCAATGCAGTCTACAACACAAAATAATGTTATTTTTAGCAATGTCATATGACCCCTTTAAGAGATCATAAAGGATATTGTTTTTTTTTCTTTCAGCTTGTGAAATTGAACTACATTAGCTGTTGAAGAGGATCTCCTTCTGAACTTAAAACAAAAATGGAGATGTACATTTGACTTTTCGAATGCATTAAAGTGGAAGATCTGTTTCTAAGAAATAATAAAAAATTTCAATAGCACGATTAGGCCATATTATTTATTAACAGGGTTGATTATACTCTGACATCAAAAGATAGAAATTGAAATAATTGAGATTATATGCACCCACAGATGACTTTGGGAAGAATTTATGGGAAGACAAGGACTGATCGTCTTTTTTTGTACCTTTAACCTCATATAAAACTGCTGTGCAGTTGGACATGTATGAGCTAATCTGCTTTGTTAGATTGAGTCATGATGTTATCCAGGAAATTTCCAAGGGAATAGTTGCAGTGCAGTATTAGAATCAATGCATTGAAATGCACTTTTACTATGCAATTATATTAGACTTTTATCTCCAAACAAGGACAAAATCAGAATTTCCTGCACTACATATATTATGGAATCAGTGGCATATCTAAAAGGTTACGTGGTGTTTTGTATACAAATTGTCAAGTGACCTCCTAAGCCGGTTTTATTTGTGGGGCAGTTTCTACCCACTGCATATTTGTCAAAAAATAGAATATCTAAATACACTGAGCTCAAGATAGAAATGTGTCATATGTCTGCAGGGGGATTTCTGCAAGCATATTTATGTACAGTGTGCTAGATAACAGTGTGCTGGAGACACATAACACGCAAAGGTGTTTTTTTTTTTTGTTGGCTTATGTGCAATTAATCCTGTTTGTGTTCTGTAAAAGCACACCACCTTTCAGTCAAAGGGATTAAATGGCAGGTGGCTCCATGAGAATGCATTTCTCTAGCTTTATTTCATAGTCATTCAAAATTCTGTTTTGACTGTCCATTGCCTGATCAAAGACCTATTCTTGGTATTGTCAAGCTGCTGTGCTTTTGGATTTCTGTCAGTAGTGTGGTGTGAACACTAAATACCCGCATCGCAGAAGTGCTTGGCATTCTTTCCCTATAAGACGATGAACTAGTCTGTAACCACATGAAACAAATATACTTTGATGCACTGAACAAAGGGCAGTAAAATATGGAAAGAAGATAGCTAATGTCACAAGTTCAAGTGGTCAATAGGTTAAATCACTTATGTTTTTATGCAGTTTTTTTTTTTACTAAATTTAAATTGAAATATATAATTTTAAATTGGCAGCATTTTCAGGCTCAAAGCAAAGAATCACTTTCCCAAACTTAAGTTTAAAAAAAACATTGCAGCTCTTCAGGATGAATTACTTATGCTGTAGTCCTCATTTACAGACTCTTTAGGTGTAAGGAAGAGTTTTCAAGAGCTGGATGTTTCAATCTAACACTAAAGTACAATTGGTGTGTACTTTGTAAAACTGTCATTTTGTGTCCTCTGTCGTCTCTAGGCAGCCTCTCAAAGCAAAGTTTCCCCTTATAGAAGAGGTCTAAAATTAGTGAGCCCCTATGACTGTCTTGGCCTAGTATGTCAGATTCCATTCAGACTCCGTCTATCCTATCACAGCACCTGCTCCTAGCTGTAACACCCTTTTAAGCTTGGCGGAGAAATGCACCTATGTCCAAGCATGATTAAAAAAGCTTCAGGTCAGGTTAATCTTTTACTTTTTTTGTGCATGCTTGTGTCTCTTTTTTTAAAAAGTGATGTCAATTAATGTTTGAAATAGCTGGGCTCTGTGAGGTCAGACAGGCCCAACGGTACAGGAGTCGTAGCATTTTTTTTGGACTTAGCTTGAGGGGCTGGACATATCTGTGCAGTGAGTGGCGATGAATGGTCAGTTTGGCACTCGGAAACCTGTAACCCCAGTTGGAGCCTCATTCACAGCTCATGGTACACTGCATAACTGTCCCCTGTGAATGCTCTCTGAAGGGGCTGTTTCATTCAAACTGGCCATATGGAAAACAGCAGAAAAAGGCAAGTATCATATCTGATGACTTTTATGTGAACTTTGATATCTGCATGTATGTTATAACATGTTTTACACCGGCAAAGTTACTGTATATATTTTTGCATCAGTAAGTTTGCATTGAGTTATGTCTGTCAATGGTCATAAGAGTAATCCTCTAATCTTATAAGTAATACTGTTTACTATTATTAAGTACAGTTTAGTATAAGCACACTGTATTTTGTTTGGAAGAGACACAATTGTTTAAAGTAACTATAATTTCTAATAGACTGTAACTTTTAGAATCTTTATATACATCTACATGAAAACATTTTCTATAGACTTCTTAAGATTTGTCATGAGAATTATTTAATTCTTACATTCTTAAGTTTTCATGATTGTTTCTTTTGAGTTTAGGCATTTATAAAAGGCTCAAGTGACACAACCCAATGTCTGTGGTATCTGAAGTGAAGAAATGGAACGCTTTCTTCGCAGTGCTCCACACACGTTCAACCTGCAGAATCGTGAAGGGCCAAATCGTGTGGAGATCTTTGACATCACTTCAATCCCCAGCCATCGTAATGCCATATCTGAAACAACCTGCCTGTGTGACATTTTTGGGGATGACTGCAAGTCTCCGTCACTTTCCAGTAGCCCAGCCTCTGCCGCATTTATCAGGAGGGAAGTGGACCAGTCTTTTCCAGCAGATGATACCAATGACTCTTCAGGATCCTATCACACTGCCAATGGATCTGATTTAAGCGACAACACTGAAGTCACTTACAACACACCTTCTCCAGAAAATATCAAAAAATTTTCCACATCTGAGACCAGGGAATCACGTTCACCCCCAGCTGAATCAACCATCTTGTCTGATTCCAATAATGGACTTAAACCACTAGACTGCACACCACCTGCATCAAAAGTCAATGGTAATGACCTTTCACATACAGATAACTGGGAAGAACCACAAGTGTCAGTGAACAATGCCCCAGTGAATGAAATGGGAATCACGAACGCATCTGAACCACAGTATGTGAATTCAACAACAGCTACTACCCTGATTAATCCAGCAAATGGACCTTCTAATACTTTATCCTGCTCTTCAGAAGAGAAAGAACCTGCTGTTTTTGAGCAAGAAGGAATTATGAAAACACCTCAACATACAAGTACAAGCCCATTTTTAGATAAACAAATATTTGAATCAGACTGTGAATCCTTGGCAGGATATCCACTTGAAAAAAATAATGTGATGTCTTCTGAGAACAAAGAGAGTATGAACTATCGAAGTCCACAAGAGCAAAACATTCTCTTTGCTCAAGGGACGGTGAACAGTGGCTCTGCATCAGAACTGTCAAACCCTTCTCCAACAGATTGCAGCCCTATGCAGGAAATGTCTACTTCACCTTCAAACAGAGATATTTCTTTTCTACCCATACCCAGTGTCATGCCACAGCCCAGATTAACCTCCACCTCACCTGTAAGCAGGGAAACTACCTCCACACTTGCATGCACAGGTAGATCTTCACCTGAGCTGCTGAATTTGTGTCCAACTCAAGTTAGGAATGCATCAGAGTCTCCAAACTTGGAGGACACTTATGGTGCTTCTTTATCTGTATCTACACTTCATACCAGTGATAATGTGAAAATAGATTATCTAACTGTGTCTGCCATTTCTACTGAAACAAGAGGAATGGTATATTCATCCATAGATGGTAGAGAAAGACTGAAATCACCTGAGATCAATGAAACCTGCTCTTCTCCTGAGCACTCAGCACCTGCTTACTCACCAGAACCAGTATTGATTCACTCCCCTATGGGTTACACCATCAGCCCATCACCTACATGTGAGAAAATTGTTTCTTCAATTGAACCTGAAGACTCACCATCCTCCCCTGTATTACCTGAGATCAAAGAAATCTGCTCTTCCCCTGAGCACTCAGCACCTGCTCACTCACCAGAACCAGTACTAATTCACTCCCCTGCGGGTTACATCATCAGCCCATCACCTACATATGAGAAAATTGTTTCTTCAATTGAACCTGAAGACTCACCATCCTCCCCTGTATCACCTGAGATCAATAAAACCTGCTCTTCTCCTGAGCACCCAGCACCTGCTCACTCACCAGAACCAGTACTAATTCACTCCCCTGTGGGTTACATCATCAGCCCATCACCTACATATGAGAAAATTGTTTCTTCAATTGAACCTGAAGACTCACCATCCTCCCCTGTATCACCTGAGATCAATGAAACCTGCTCTTCTCCTGATCACTCAGCACCTGCTTACTCACCAGAAAAAGTAATGATTCAATCCCCTGTGGGTTACATCATCAGCCCATCACCTACATATGAGAAAATAGCTTCTTCAACTGAGCCTGAAGACTCACCATCCTTCCCTGTAGTCACAAGGATTGATTACAGTGATATCTGCTCCTCTCCTGATCACTCCATTCCAGCTCACTCACCAGAACCTGAAATAATTCACTCACTGATGGGTTATACCATCAGCCCATCACCTATAAATAAGAGAATGTTTTTTTCAGTAAAACCTGATGACCAACCATCCTCCCCTGCCATCACAGGAACTGATTACACAGCAACACCAACATGCAGTAGAGATTCCACACCTGTGTTAAGGAGCATTACCTCCACTCCAAACAGCAGAGAAAATTACCTTACACCAGAGCCCAATTGCCCAGCCCCTACACTGGAATTGAGATCAGTCACCTGCTCACCTGAAATCAAAACAATATCATATAGTGTTCTGCCACAAAATACAAAATACCCTGGCATCACATATAGTGTTACACCAACCGAAGATTTAGCACAATCACCTGCAGTAGAGACAAATGTCTGTGGCAACTCCTCTGAAACTTCCAACTATCTTTTTGGAAATGACACCTCTGTCTCACCTAGCTCAAGGAACTTTTTGTCAACACCAGAAAGTAGATCAAGGCCCTCATCAGCTGCATCAGACCATACCAAACACACAGCACAATCCCCTGATCTCCAACCTGAGCCTTCCATCACTCTTGAAAAGGCAGAAAATCAGACTTTATCCATAATCTGTGATGGAATTAATCATCCTTTCTCTAACCCAATAGACTGTTTTAATTGTTTTGATGACCTTGCTGACACAAAGACTCCCAAAAGCATTGCATCTGTCCCGGACGAATGCAAAGGCAGTGGACCACCAGTTCTTAGCCAAATGCAGATCTTGCAAGCTTCAACCTCTAAAACCTCAGATTCTGGATCGCCCACAGTAAAAATTGAGAAAAATCAAGAAATTGTCACTGATTACACAACTGATTTAACTGTCTGTGGAACACCAACTTCCACGAGTCCATGGGCTGCATCTGTGCCGAAGCCAATGGCATCTTTAGAGAAGAAACAATGCCATGCTGAGGTTTTTGATAGCAGCATGGGAATGGAAATGTTGAAAAATGATTCCCCAAACAGTAACAAGAGGCTTAGTCAAGTGCCTGTAGCATTAAGAGATAGCCCAGGGGTTATCAGTAGG